CACCTCCACAAATATGGCAGACAAACAGATACACATTCAAATAAAATCCATCTTTAAAAAATGAAATGAAAATGCAGGGTGGTAGCACACACCTTTAATCCCAGCACCAAGAAGGCAGAGACAGGTAGATCTCTGTGAGCTTTAAGTCAGCCTGGTCTACATACACAGTGAGTTCCAGGACAGCCAAACGCAGTTACACAGAGAATTCCTGTCTTGAAAAAACCAAAAATACGACAAAACAAAAAAGGAAATTAAAGATTGTAAAAAAAAAGTGTGTTGTTTATTTGAAATGAGTCCAGTTTTAAGGACAACAATACTGGGGAGAGGGGGGTTTCTCTACAAAGCTGGGGGGATAGGAAAGTATCCCAAGCTGTTTATAAATCATTTTTAAGAGCTAGCCTTCTATTGTTAAGAGTATAAATAAGCCTGCACAAGTACTTTGGTGACAAAGACCCACTGCTGTTTATAACTAACTGCTAAGTTAAAGATAAACCAGTAACAGGATTTTAAACTGGCCCAAAGGAAGGGCTAGCAAGATGGCTCAGCAATAAAGGTGCTTATCACACAAACCTACTCATCTGAACTGAGTCCCTGGAACCAAAGTAAAATTAGGAGGGAATGAATTCCATGAAATGTCCTCTGGCCTCCACATGCGCAACCACACACAACGTGAGCATAAGCCCCCATACAAGTGCACACACAAAACTGTATATTCACAAACCAGTAAATTAAAACGAACTAGGAAATAAACTGATAGCAACAGATACAATTAGTCATTCATTATCCTTTGATACATAGTGAGTTTCAGAACAACAAATCCAGCTACACAGTGAGACCTTCTCTCCAAAAACAAAAAGTAGAGAAGCAAGCAGTTGAGGAGACATCAGACATCAACTTCTGCCCTACATAGGACAACCCTACACAGAACAAAGGCCCATGGCACCAAATTCCTTAGTCTTCGTATGCCTTGTCTTCACTTGTTCTCATTCTCTCTGTCCTTCATCCATCTCCCTCCTGTACAGGCAGCTGACGAAACCCCTAGCTTGTCGGCCCCATCTTTCTTTTGTAATGCCAATAAATTGTTCTTGACTTCCCATCTGAGATTGTTTTTATTTATCTGTATGGATGTTTTGACTGTATGTATGTCTGTGTACCACGGTATGTATAGCAACTATGGAGGCTAGAAAAGAGCATCAGATCCAGAACTGGGGGGCTAGGGGAGGGGAGGAGCTGAAAACTGAATCTAGGTCCTCTGCAAGAGGAGCAAGTAAATAGTCAAGCATTTCTTGATCTTCTATTCTTATTTTTAACTTTACTGTTTATTTTTTATCATTTTAAAATTATGTTTTTATGTATATGTGCAATGTGAGTCAATGTGCCCAGTAAGGCTAATAAGTACTGAATCCCCTGAAATTGGAGATACCAGTGGTTATGACCCATCCAATGTGGATGCTAGAAACCAAACTTGGGTCCTTTGCAAGAATAGTTTGTGTTCTTAACAGCTGATGGTATAGGCCTTTAATCCCAGCACCTGGGAGTTTGAGGTCAGCCTGACCTACTAGAGAGTTCCAGGCCAGACAGGCTACACTGTCTCAAAAAAGACAGATATATATACAGGGGGTGAGGTTGGGGGAGGCTGGAGATATGGCATGTCTAAGTTCCTAGATCCCATTCCTAACACAGGAAAAGCAGAGTGGGGATTATGACAATTATTCACTAGAGGTATTTCCCAGTAGATTTAAATAGGCAGAAAAACTATCAGCAACTATAAAGATAGGACTATCAAGATCATCTAGTCTGGGGAACAAAAATAATTTCAGAAACCTTCAGGACAAATTAAAATATCAATAAGTATATCAAGCTACATATGCCCCAGTCTTTAGTGTTTTGTTTTTTGAAATAAGTTTTATTGCCTCGCCCAACAGAGCTTAATTTTGTGATACTTCTATCTAACCCAAAACAGTTTATCAGAAACCAGAAAGGATAAAAGACATATAGGCTAATACTACCTACTAGGAAGTTAATTAAGACTCCTTCATCTAGGGCTAGGCAGACATCAAAGTAGGAATAAACCTGACAGTCTACATTCAATCCCCAGAACTAACTCTTACAAGTTATCCTCTAACTTTCATGCACATACACAAATATATGGAAAACATTAGAGAAAAATTGTGTAATAAAGCACTTCCTAGCTTGCTCACTGCTGTCAAGGGGAATCATCTCAAGAGAGGTCTTGTATACCATTAAGCTGGGGAGAGAAGACCCTGTATTCGTATTTCCAAATTCCAAAAGCCTGCTCCTCCCCACTAGTTAAGCAAGTGATTACCCCAAGAATGTGTTGGGGAGGGCATTGGAAAGGCTGGAAGGAAGAGAAGTGGCATAGTAGTATTTTAAATACAGGGGGAAAAAAACAACAATGAGTATGAACCTGGAAAACTGGAAGTGACTCAGGTTGAAACAGATAATACTTAAGTGGTATGTGTCAACTGTGGCAAGCAGATAAGCTACAAACCAAATGGATAAGAGTGAGCTAGCTGTGTGTGAATACAAGTGGAGTGCACGACAGAACTGAGGCCATGACAGATAGGATGAGCCATTAGCCAGTCAGTATAAACTGCTTTGGCCTGACTACTTTGTATACTCTGAGAGTGGAGAAAAATAACTGCTGCTAGGCAGAATTTCCCAGTGTAGGGGCTGGGGAGCAAAGTGCTTTCTGAGTAAGCATGAAGACATGGGTTCAATATCCAGAACCAATTTAAAAAAAATTTCAAGCATGGTGATGAACTAGGCAGGAAAAGACAGACATATCCCTAGAACCTGCCAAGCAGCCTAATCTACTGGGTATTCCAAGCTAGCAAAACACTCTTAAAAAAATGTGAGTGGCATCTGAGGTACAGTATCTGAGGTTATTCTACACACACACACACACACACACACACACACACACACACACAGAGAGAGAGAGAGAGAGAGAGAGAGAGAGAGAGAGAGAGCGCGCATATGCACACAAATACACAAAAGAACTGCCCATCACAAACCCACCAGAGGGTCTTTGGTGCAGAGAGAGACAATGTCTTTTAGCTAGGCTAACAGAAGTAGTCTGAGGAAGGCTCTTGCACTTGCAGCATAGCCATGACTTCATACCCAAAACTGCAGGCTGAGAAAAGTCCTTCTCTGACTTGTTTTAGACTTCACTCACCTCTATAAATAATCCTGGAGAAAAATGATCCATCCTCTCTGTTAGCATTCAGACGTCTGTACTGGCTAGTCCTTGAGATTCTGACAAGAAATGCCCTGCCCTCAGCTGCAGCCACTAAGAGCACCACCTGTGCATTCACTCTGCTCCCTTTTAAAAGTACCCTCCCTACCTCCCATTTCTCTAGTCCTCCTTCTCTGCATTCCTGTTCTCAGAGGCTAGTCTCCCCCCACACACACACACACACTTCCCCATTCACTTTCCCCTAATTAAAAAAACCCCTCCACACAGGATGGAGAGATGGCCCAGAGGTTAAGAGCACTGGCTGCTCTTCCAGAGGATGTGGGTTCAATTCCCAGCAGCCACATAGCAGCTCACAACTATCTGTAACTGGAGTTTCAGGGGATCTGATACCTTCATACCAATGCACATATAATAAAGTTAAATAAATTATAAAAAAACAAACTCTCCACCCAAGCTCTGTCGCATGGCATGCCATTTTTTAAAATACAGCACTCTCTTGTACTGCTTTGTCTGCTCCCTTCCTTCTTTCCTTCTGATTGTATTGTCTTTCTTACTTTTCTATGTGCTCCATTATGATCACTTCCTTTACTTTCTTTTTTTTTTTTTGGGGGGGGGGGGACTTGGAGCTCAAGTTGACTTTGAATACCTACATACCTGAGATTGTCCTTATCCTCCTGCCTCTACTTCCCAAATATGAGGACTTCAGTCAAGCAGTGCTACACCACAACCAAGACATGACTTCTTCTTATCCCTTTACACCATACACCCTTTTTCTTTTTCTTACCTCCCTCGTAGTTAAATGCAGCTAAGGGCTACAAGATGGCAGAAGCATTTGCCACTCAAGCTTGAGGGCCTGAGTTCCTGTCCTGGAGAGCATATGGTGGAGGAAGAGCTTACTTCCTACAGCTGCTCTTCCACCTCAATCCTTGCACCAGAGCTTGTATTCAGCCACACACAATAAATGATATAAAACATAAAAGCAATACAGAAATGGAGTAACTTTTTAATTACCATTGTCTGTTTTCTCTTAGTGCAAGTATGGAACATGACTCCAAGAAATCTAATAAGACTAATAACCCCCAAAAATCTTAAAATCCATTTAAATAAAATAAAAAATTGTTTCTTTTTTTTTTTGAAACAGGGTCTCACTGTGTAGTCAATGGCTGGCTTGGAACTAATTATGTAGAACAGACTGGCCTCAAATTCAAGAGATCTACCTGCCTTTGCTTCCCATTTAAATAAAAATTTAAAAATGTGAAGAGAGATAGCCTATCCTGACAGATAAACAAGATACAATGTAGAAACACAAGAACCCTGAAAAGCCAAGGCAACACAATTCCTGTAACTGAGTCCAAAGACCGGTATAAGGATTCAAAGGTCAAAGAACTGCAAAGAATGGTTTTAAAATGACTGGTGACCTCAAGAAAATCCAAACAGACAGTAAAGACATCAAGATAAAACTTGTTTGCTGTGAATAGACATAGAACCTTATTTATCCTAAGAGATTTACCCAGAACAGAGTTTCAGAGAGTTCTAACAAACAACAATCTGAATCTTATACTCTACTAGATTCATTTCCATCAAAGATCTATGTATACACTACAAACTAAAGGATAAAATTCTTCAAGACTTTCTCTCTGCCTTCACAAAGACAAGCAAGTTCCTCTTATAGGCTAATGACTACACCCTTGACATAGTGTGCAACCCTGGTTCAGGCAATGGGGTCAGTAGTTGTATGACAGTTGCAGCTCTCTACAGAACAAGATCACCACACACTCACCTCCAGTTCCTCACTGTCTTTGGGCTTCTCCTCAGAGGTCTGTTTAACAAAGTCAGGGATGAGAATTTCCAGGGTGGCTCGGGCTACAAAAAGAAAAAGTCTGAGGTGAGGGCTTAAGCCCAAAGGAAAACCAGGCCTGCTGCCCAGCCAGCAGTGAGCTACATGCTGGCCTCCACACTCGTAGCCAGAAGCAGTAATAACACTTTAAGAGGTAAAATTGGGAAGGAATAAAAAACAAGTGCATCCTGAACAAGGGACAATGAGATGATAGAAGTTTCATATACCAATTTTACCAAGGGAGGAACTCACATATATTTTAATCAAATTATAACATATTAAAAAAAAAAAAAAAAAAAAAAAAAAGGCTTGGCAAAACCAAAACTTAGAACCAAGGAGGCCTGACAGCAAACTGCTACAGACATCCAGACCACAACATATGGAGAGCAGCTACCATGAACAGGTAGATGGGACATATCTGAGGAACTATTATGGAAGAAGCATGTATTAAGGCAGAATATGAGGGTGGCACCCACATGAACAGGCCACTACCTGTTAACAGTAATGGCTCAGTCTGGTCCAGCACAGCAGTGTTGAGAGAGTAACTGGAACTAGCAGAGGAACAAAGCCCAGCACAGAGACAGGTGACCTTGTAAGGAGTAGCTTAGGAAAAGTCTGAGGATATTTCCATTCTTCTGCCAGGCCCTATATCTCAAAAGTTATCTGCTCAAAGTCTCAACAATTTGTTGAGCTGCAGTCTTTTTAGGCTAAATCTTTCTAAAATGAATAGGAGCTAGAGGCTAGCTCAGTGGTAGAACACTTTTTTCTAGCATGTCAAGCAAGACCTGGCTCAGTCCCTAGCTCTGCATGAGTAAGTTAACAAAACAGAATCAGGGGTTCCTGGAGACAGAGGAAAAATATGCAAGCCAAGGGCAGCTAAAGAGAGGACAGGCAGTAACGTGATGAAGAAAGATTTCTTATGGTCCTCAACATTGGCCACAAAAAGAAAGTAGCACAGAGGAACACTCTGATCTGATTCTTACAAGCAGAATATCCTCCTCCTGTCCTCAAGACCCAGTAAGACTGAGAAAACTGTCATGTCTCCTATTCTGTATAGAGACCAGTTCTAGAAGACAAAATGTCCATAGGATAAAGTTCAAGAATGCCCCTATACGGGCCAGGGCCAGAAGTATACCTAACACTAATCTACAATGTATCCACTACTTGGAAAGGCCCAAACAGCCCCAATGCTGAGCAAAATGGATTGGTGCAAAAATGTTGTCTATTCCTCTATGGAGGCAGAAGGCAAAGGTATGGCACAATGGGTCTTTTAAAGGAAAACACCCATTTTTCTTGGGATGAACATGGTGTGCAACAACTATCTAATCCCCAATTTGAAATTTGAGGGACTCAGGAAACAGTCTATATAAATATCAAAAACCCTGGAAATGGTGACAATCTGCCTTTTTTTCCTCTTATCGAGCCCATCTTTTGCTGCTTAAAAACAAATTTGCATGCCAGGTGTGGTGGTGAATGCTTTAATCCCAACACTCAGAGAAACCCTGTCTCAAAGAACAAAAATAAAAAATAACAAAACTGTGTATTACTGCACATAGCCCCACAGGCTCTAAGCATACCCAAATCTGTGCTTAGCTGGAACACGAACAGAAAAACACTGACCTTGCTGTCACTTAGCAGAAAGAGGCCCTCTACTCTAGTCTAACTTTAAAAAAAAAAAATCTGAGCTAGGGCTGGGGATGCAGGTGGCTCAACCTTTAATCCCAGTGCTTGGGATACAAGCAGGCAGATCTGTAAGTCCAAGGCCAGCCTAATGTACAGACCCAAGTTCCAGGACAGTTAAGGCTACACAGAGAAACCCTGTCCTGGGCGCGTGGGGGGGGGGGGGGGGGGGACCACCTGTTTGTTTTTTGAGACATAACCTTGGCTATCCCGGAACTCACTCTATAAACCAGGCTAGATTCAAACTTACAGAAATCTGCCTGCCTCTGCCTCCCGAATGCTGGGATTGAAGGTGTTATTTTAACTATGTATATATGTATGTGCAGAAACCAGAGGCATTAGATCCCCCTGGAGCAAAAGTTATGGTATTTGTAAGCTGCCCCATGTGGGTTCTGGGAATTGTGGTGATTTGTGCCCCTATAGTCTCCTAATTTTAAATGGTTAGTCACTAGGAGGCATGTCCTCGCTGAAGGATGTACCATACAGGCGAGGTTTGAGGCTTCAAAACCCCACACTATTCCTAGTTAGCTGTCTCTGCCTCATGCTTATAAATCAGATATAAATTCTCAGCTACTGCTCCAGGACTATGCCTGCCTACCTCCATGTTCCCTGCCACCATGATCATTAATTCACCTTCCAAAATCACAAGCCCCAATTAAATGCTTTATTTTAAAGCTGTCTTGGTCATGGTGCTTTGTCAGTAGTAGAAAAGTAAGAGAGAAACCAAACTTGATTCCACTAAAAGAACAATACATGCTCTTAACTACTGAGCTACCTTTCTAACTCATCATTGTCTTTTTACTTTCTTAGTTTAAATCATTCACAACAAGCACATAGTTATTATATTGTATCTTTGATAGTACAGGGGATTAGACCCACTCTACAGCTGACTTACATCCCTAGCCCTTAGTTTTGAGACAGTCTTGCTCTATAGCTAAGGCTAGCCTGAAATTCACAATGGTCCAATGGTCCTATAGCAGCTTCTCAAGTACTAGAAATACTGTCAAGTACCACTACTATGTTTTAAAAATCAAAGGAGAGGGTGACAGAGATAGTCAGTAAGGGTTAAGGGCACTTGCTGATCTGGGTTTGGTTCTCAGCACCCATATCAGTTGACTCCTGACTTCCTTTAATTCCAGTTTCAGTGGATCCAATGCCCTCTTCTGGCCTGAAGGCACCAGCACTTAAGTAGTTCACATGAAGACACACAGACACAAACACACACACACACCACAAAAATAAATTCTTTTTTAAAAGCACATTAAAAAATAGATTACAAGAATAAACGTCATATCCATACCCCTACTCATTACCCAGCCCCTTGCTAATTAGAGTGAGGCAAACCCAGGAGGCAGCATATTTCTAATATATCATAAGTGATATTTAATAATAATTACCAACTTCTGGACATGCCTGTGATCACTACCTAAATTAAGTTAGTCTTTATGGCATACTTGCGGATGAATATCTAGACATAGTTAACTGAGGTGGGAAAGTCACCTCAGTAAGTAGCACCATGTTATGGGCTAAGGTTCTGGGGTGAACAAGGGAGGAGGAAGCTCAGTACTGGCATTCATCATTGTCAGCTCTTGACTGCAGATGCCATGTTGGCAGCACCCTCAAGTTCCTACACCATGCCTTTCCCACCATAAAATATACACTTCAGGAGCCAAAACCCACCCTTCCTTTCTTAAGTTGCTTTTGTAAGGGTATCTTATAGCAACAAGAAAAGTAACTGATAGACCAAGGAAACCACATTACCAGCTTTATTCTTGGCAAGTTTTTTGCTGCTTGCAGTTCCAGATCCGTAAGTCACACCATCAATGGTCACCGAGGCACCAAAGGGCTCACTTGGATTCTCTTAAAATTAAAATTACTTGTTTTAAAAACACACTTGTCGAGACATGGAAAGCATGCATACAGAAAATCTGTCATCCTTGCCTGACAAGATACCCCTGAATAAAGCATATCTGTGCTTGTCTGAGATGTGTAGATAAGGCTGGGAGGTGTGGAGACAGGCAGCAAGGGGCACAGATGGGACAACTGAAGAGTGTGAGTTATTATGGGAAATGATCCAAAGGGGAAACAGAGATGCAGGCAGAGCTGCCCAGTATAGGGAGGAACAAGATAGGGATATGGTCTCTGAAAGACAAATATGAATGTCAAGAATAGCAAAGGACATCTAAGAAACAGCAACCCCCAATAATGAGTGATCCCAGGTCTCAGATCCCAAGGGCAATCACATAGGCATTCATGAACTATACAGAGGAAACCACAGAAGACAGAGCTGTCAGGAAGTGTGGTAAGATCAAGGCTCCTTCTTTATTGGGGGATGGGTAGGTGGAGGGGTGGGAGTGTCAGACCAGGAAAGAATTCAATGTACAACAGAAAGGCCTTTATTACAGACTGCTCTTGACAAGTCAGGAGCTACCAAGGCAGAGCAGAGAAGAAAAATGGGGGAAATGGGAAAATAGGACAAACTCAAAAGGAAAAGCTAAGCCATCCCCTCTCAGACAAGGGTCACTGCTGTGAAAAATAAGACACCTACCTCTCTTTGTTCTTGCCTTGCACTGACTATTCAACCCAGCAGGGCCAATATACTCATCACTCCCACCTCTAGCCATAAGCAAAATGATATATAAGAGTCATCAAAAACTGAAACAAAATGGGTTTGAACTTACCACATTCAAAGAAATTATAAACTGGGCGGACCTTGAGGACACGCTGCATGTATTCGTGCAGGATGCAGACCTCAGACTTCCCATTGGGATTGATGACAAATTCTGTGACAAAAAGGACTATCTCAGGAACTGGGCCCATCCACATTACTGAGCCACTCCTTAGGGGCTTACCACTAAGAACATGGCAGCCTCTGCAGTACAGCTATGGGGTAAGAGCACTCATAAACATAGACGAAGTAAATTAAATGACAATGATATGTTCCGTCTGCTGATGGTAACAGTACAAGCACAGCTCACCTTTCTTTGTAGGTGCATCTTGCACAGATAAAGTGATGAGCTTCTGGTTGGCTGGCAAGATGGGCCTCTCTGACTCTGCCTGCTTCCGCTTCATCTCACGGTTAAACTGACGCCGCTCAGCCCAAGTCCTGAATTTTTTCACAGTTACTTGCTCAAAGTCAAAACGCTTCTCCAGGTAGGTACGAAATTCCTCCAGATCTGTCCAAGATATATACCAGTGAACCACATTATCAGATTTCCAACACAAGAATCATGTTTTTCTCAGCTCTGTGTATAATGACAACCCCCATTAAACACGTCCAGGACACATGATACCCATTTCCCTTTTGCTATCTCTTTCAAAAGCAAAGAAAAAGAAAAAGAAAAAAAAAAATTAGGTCCTTTCACACCTACTTCAAATCATTCTGGGAAGTACCTCATGGATAGACTCCTAGGTATACCATTACTTTATCTGGACTAAGAAAAACAATACGAAAATGAAACAGGGGTGGAGGGGTATAAATATAAAAACAAAGCAAACTCGCATGCGCGCGCACACACACACACACACACAAAGTAATAAGTACCTGACTGCCAATAGCAGGTGTCTACCATCTCTCTGACCATCTCACTTTTGCCTCTGGCCCTTCAAAGTCAGTAACAAACCGTATCCAGGTGGCTCTCTACCTCCTCAGGGCTTCTATACTGATGCAGCTCTTCCCAGACCATGCTACCTATACCCAACAGCAGCTTCCTCCTCCAGGCAGCCCACACTCAGCTGTGCAGCACATACACAAACTTAACCCTGAAAGCTTCAATTCCTCTTTGGAAGTGACTCTTATTGGATGGGTTCAAAGAGCTCTGACATCACTAGGGATCTAAGGGATAGAACTAAGCTATAGGCACAAGACAAGAGAAATACAAGCATATAACCATAAACAAATGCAAAAATCAAGAGCACTGCCGAGTTCTTTATAAAGGCAAAAAGCAGAACCCTGCATCAAAAACAAGAAAAAGGTGAGGGAACTAGCCAGAGAAGAATGGCAGTTCCTTGGTGTTGAATTTATGGCTGCAGGCTCATGCTATGTTCATCAGATACATTGAAACAATGTCACAGGAGCACATTGTACTAAAGCAAGACTTCAGAGAAAGTCACATTGAAAGACTAGTTGGCACTGACATAATCATCTCTACTGAAGCTTTTGGCAGTAAGGCCCTATAGAGCTCAGGCTGCTACACTCAGGTGTGCTCTTGAAAACAGGGAGAGACCTGTCTGGCATGTGAACTGTACATGCAAAGGTCCCCTCTCAGATACAACCAGGAATGCCCAGCATGTGGTAGGAGTGAAAACTCAGGTAGCAAGGAGGGAAGAAAGCTCTTCAGAACACTTACCAACTGATTCATCTTTGCACACCTCAACTTTAGCCTTCACTTGTCCCAGGGCTCCAGGGGCTGCCTCACCCCCCAATGGGTCCTTCTCATCCAGGGACCCCGAGTCTCCACCCATGGAGTCAGGCTCTTCCAAAGGGAAATCCAACTCTGCAGACCGACTCAGGGGCTTGACAGGTGACACCTCCCCACTGGGTGTGAGATCACAGCTTTGCTCCCGTTCCTCATTGTCCTTCATTTTCTTATAATGCAGACAGGGGATACTGCTTAGAGGAGGATCGTGTTTCTGTAAATAGTGAAATTGAAACAGGGGTTATCAGGAAAACTTTGAGTCTACTTGACTGCCCTTCAACACATGCAAACAAGCATTGAGAAGTGGCAAGGCTAAATACATGATGGATGACTCCCCTACCCGTATGCTTCCTGTTCCCAAGAAATAGGGTCTGGACCAGGTAACAACTCGAGACTCTCTATGCAGGTATACAGGGACTCCAGAATTATGAAAAGTCATGATCCATCCGTCAGGCAATGGCTCTGTAGGTGGACGGCCACGACCTACATAAACACAAGATTGTTACACAATGCCTCTTGAACATGTTTTTGTACAGGTCTTGCCAAGTTTCTATCTGCTTTATGGGCCCCAACTGCACCCCTAGAACAGTATGTAGGGCAAGGTGAGAACTACATGGAGAACCAATGTACAAGAAGCCCCAAATAGTCCCCACCCTAGCTCTTCATTAAACACTTTAACAGTGGATCCTGGATTTCTCCTACCTTTTCAGCCATGATAACAGGTACCTAAGGAGTGAGTAAACTTTGCTAACAATCTGAAAATGTGTCAGCCACTATTCCTGGTGATCAGGCACATACTGTGTTTGATTCCACAGAACCATCTTTAAATAAATAAATAAATAAATAAATAAATAAATAAATAAATAAATAAATAAATAAATCAAGCTGAAGAGATGGCTCAGCAGTTAAGCACTTACTGCTTTTGCAGAGGACCCAAGTTTGGTGCCCAGCACTCACATGGTAGCTCACATCTGCCAACTCATAGCTCCAAGTGATGTGATGCACTGGTCTCCACAGTGCACATACATACATGCAAACATTAAAATAAGTAGTCTCTAAAATAAAGAAACCTGGGCATGTTAGAGTACACTTCTAAACTTGGGAGGCAAAGGCAGGTGGATCTCTGGGAGTTAGAGACCAGCCTACATAGTGAATTCCAGGACAGCTATCATTACATAGAAACCCTGTCTCCCCCACCAAAAAAAAAAGGACACTCAAAATAAATAAAAACAAAAAGACTGCTTCCAACCTTTTCTCTGTTTTACTGGCAGTTTTAAGAAAAAAGTACCATACTTGTTTTCAACTTGTCTCTCTTCAATGACAAAGCTTGTTCTTACAGGTATTAGGAGCAATCTGAAATCTAGAAACTAAAGAAAATATACATAAATGAACCCTGAACACTAGGCATGATTTAAAAAGGTGCTGTGGACTCTGAGAAGGGCAGGAGCATCACTGGGCTAAGCTCAACAACAGCCACCATCAGAGTATGACCTGGAGGGAATCCTGCAAGTCAGAAGTGTACCCATGAGTACTCCTAGAAACTTGACCAAAGGGGAGCTACTGCACATAATTCAGGAAAAGCAACAAGCTGAATATGGACCCAAGCACAATATAAGACAGGTTTATCCCAGCCACTTATCTGTGACAGCCCACCAAGCTGTCTAAAGAGCTATAAATAGCACACTCCTGACTCAACCCCTCCTAGGCAGGTAATAAGCAAAGGCTACCGATGCTCTGTGGGAAGCTTAACATTAGACTCCTGGAAGCACAGGAACACATGGACCTTTCCAGAAGCTGCAGCCCCAAAGCCACTTGATCTAAAATTGCCTATCATGGTATCTGCACTGCTCAGTTCCCACTACCATGTGCAGAAATATCTCGTACCTAGCCTTTCATCTCCTCAGCAGCTCAAGAAAGGAAACCTCCCCACCTTCTCTCCAGGGGTCTCAAGTACTTACGTGCCTGAGCCCAAGTGCCTTTGAAACCCAACCCCTAACTAATCCTGGCAGCCTTACAAGAATAAGCCAAGCCTAAGCCAAGCCTACACAGAAGCTCATGTAACTTGCCCTACACTTTCCCTGTACTGACAACAGAGCCTGGTAACACAACCATGGGTGTTCACCAGCTACTCTCCCACTGTCACCAGATGCAGGTGTAAGTGCCACTCTGCACATCTCCCAAACATTGCTACTTCTATTCACAGAGTTCCCACCCTGACCCACAGTGCCAAGTGCCATGTTGTAGCCCAGAAGCCAACATTAACCTGATTTACCTGCAACAAAACCAAAACTTAGACGGCAACTATAACCTCCAACTCATCAAAAACCAACCTGACCTTGGCCTCCACGATCTGCAGGCTCCTGGTCTTATATGCTAGCACACACTGATGCACCCCATTCAAGGATCTTCTGTAGCCTCTGTGGCTTCCACAGAATTTACCAAGATTGAATCTGGGTTGTGGGTCTGAGTGAGTACCTGTGTCCAAATTGTTTTCTTTTCACCTCCCATTCTATACTTAAACCTGTGTCTCTACCTAGACTGACTTCTGGCACCAGAGAACTCCCACAATATTCTAAGAAGAAAAACTTCTAGGGCCTTGAAGCATCAGGATTTGTGACCAGCTCACTCACTCTTGAGCACTGTTTTAATCTTGGTCATCATTGGCTGAACACTTGTCTCTCCATCAGATGGATGATCACTGTCTCCGCCATATTTTTCCTCCATTCGCCTCTTCTTGGGAGCACAAAGACCTTCTTCTAGCAAAGCATCCACATCATTGTCAAAGTCATCCTGCAAAACAAGGTGTTCAGATACTACAGTCTTCTGTGCTTCCATACCAAGGACAAATTTCACATGTATGAGGGAATACACAGAGACCCTCAACAGGGATTGGGTATGCCCTGCTGGCATTTGATCATCTGAAAAACAAACATGATGAAATGGCAAGTGAAACCAACACGCCTGGTCCAGGAGCACACCCAGCCAAAGAGGCTTTGCAGCAGCACCTGCTGACTCAGGTTGGGAAGAGATCCGACTCAATGTTAGCCAAACTTTCCACTAAGAAACTTTAGAAATGAAAACTTACATCCTTCTCTTTTCTACACTAATGTGATTTATCCTCACACCAGGTTTTGTTTTGATTTCCCTGCTTTCAAAAGACAAAGCCACTTCCAAACCTCTTTGGGTTTTGCTCAGAGCCCTCCAGAGAACAGGTCACCAACATACCTCATAGGAGAAATTCAAGGCCTCTTCATCCACTCTGTCTCTTTGAACGATTGCTTTAGCCGTGAACCCGCCTGTTCCTTCTTCATCTAGCTCCAAATTGTCAGTAAAATCTTCTAACTCATCGAGCACTGCATACTCCACTCTCTTTTCCTGATCCAGCTCATTTTCCTCATCCTTCTTATCTGCACTCTCACCCCCTAGGCCTACCCCATTACCAACATTCCCGCCAAAGGGACAAGCATGCACGTCCCCACTGACAGGACTAAGGAGTAGGCTACATTCAGCCCGAGTGCTGCGTTCTACTCCTGTGTACAGCACCTTCCTGTCCTTACTCCTACAGCTCTCAGTAAAGCTCACACTAATCTTTACATCCTTAAGCAACTTAAGGTCAGGGGAGAACTTCCGGACTGCGGGTGCGTGCCGGGCAGTGCGTGGGCTGTGGCCACTACAGTTCGGGTCTATGAGGAGGTGGCCCTTAGAGAAGGATCCTTTGGAGAGAAGAGAAGCTCCGTAGAAGTTGAATGGGTCCTCGGCAGGAGGTTCGGACTGTCCATCACCACCAGAGCCAACGTCCATTACCTCTGCATCACTGGACGTTTGCAGGGGAGGTGGTGGAGACTGTTCATGGGGCAGCACTTGGAAGGGGCAAGCTCGGTTCTCCATCATAGCTTCTCCTGTGGGCTCATGCGGGAGAGGAGAGGGACTCTCATATGTCTCCATATTATGAGCAGTTAAGACTATTTTAAAACACCAGAGTTTTAAACCACCTTACATAAATCTATACTGCTAACATGCACAAGTCCGTCGAGACCCGGTGGCGTCCTGCCCGCGCTGCACACACTGGCGGCTTAGTCAAGCTGGCCACATTGCTCTTTTCATTAATGTAGACAGCTTTTAGAACCACTGCCTCAATTATTGGAAATCACAATGCACTCAGCTTAAAAGATTGGCGTCTAAGAGAGTCTATCTTCATGCCACATTGGCACCTTTCTTCTTCCACCTGCAAAGAAATTTAAAAATATCATCACAAAATGACAGAAATTTTCCACTTCTCTGGTACCAAGTTAAAAGTCAAATGTTATCTATGACGTAGTAAAGGGCTTTCTTAACTGCCTTTAAGAAAACCTTCTAGACACCAGGGGGAAAAATCTCACTAGTTTTCTTCAGAATCTAATTTAAGCCCTAAATTAAATGTTTTTATCAACTATTCACTTTAATCCCTATATCAGAGGCACAAAAATATAGTCTTCGAGCTCAAAAATGATTAAGGCTAAAAATAAAAAGCTAAACTTTACCACAGCACTCCCATAATTCAACCTGGTGGATAAGCAAGCATGCAGCGGGAGGTCACCAGTTCAGGAACACACAGAGTGCTTGGTCTCCTTCAAGCTATCAATCCACTCACCTTCAAGAGCTGGGTCAGTCAGAGGGTGAGCGAGACCCTCAGCTCAACTCTGTGGCACTAGGGACCTCAGAGATATGGCCAGGCACTCTGCTACCCATGGACCCCCTCTCCTGGGCCCACAACGTGGCACGTGGACAGGACAGTGATGCAGCGTGCTGAGGTCACCAGGAGTGGCAGGATAGATCCATTCCCAGTAGAGGGAGGGTGTCTGTTGGGAAGGGAGCCTAATATTGGGGGGTAAGCAGGGCAATAAAGGAAAAAGGTAGAGTCAAGGCAGAAAGGGTCCTGGGTGCCACCAGGAGCCTAGCTCTAGGCTGAGGATAGTGAACTACCAAGAGGGAAGCAACTCTCCTTATAGAGAAGACTCACAACTATACCAGGTATAGGTGACTGCACCAGGTGTTGGGACAGTTCTCCAAAACAAAGATGTAGAAGCAGCTCTGGAAACAGTAAGAAAGTGTCACAGGAATTGTCTATGCTTGCAGACCCTATAGGGTGGAAAGGAGAAAAAAGGAGGTGAAGAAAAGGCTTCTCTGCAGACACACTCTGGTACCTAGGCAGAAGCCTAGAGAGAAGAATAGAGGAATGTTGCAGGCAGCCAGCCCTATCTCACAAGCACTCAGGCCACAAAACTCTGGAGACCTGAAGAGGTCTGGTGGTGACGACCACATGAACTGGGAATAAGCACCAAAACCACAAGAGGGAAAGATATAATCCTAGGAAGCTCTGCTAGAGGATGCGTGAAAAGAGGAATGACGCAACAGAGAAGGCAGATCATAGACTAGCCACAAAACCAAAGGTCCACAGAAAGGCTATTGGCAGAAACACGTGCGCACACACATGCACACTCCCACATGCACAGAAACATGCACATGCCATGCACACTGGTGCAGGTGCAGATATACACACACGACCATACCCATGGGTGACAGTTTGGTTGCACCTACACAACTCATTTTTTTAAGTCATTTTTTTTTAAAGATTTCTTTATGTATATGAGTGCTCTATCTGCATGTATACTTTTATGCCAGAAGAGGGAATCAGATCCCACCATACATGGTTCTGAGTCACTTTGTAGTTGCTGGGAATTGAACTCAGGACCTCTGGAAGAGAAGCCAGTACTCTTAACCTCTGAGCCATCTCTCCAGCCCCAACAACTCATATTCTTAAGACCCCAGAGAGGACAAGAGACAGGAAACATCTATATGAGCAGCTTACAGTGAAGGGATTAAGTGGGGTGGTTATGCCTTGCTGAAGGTACAACCTAAAAGGCAGAGGCTTGCTTAGGTTAAAGTAACTCATTTAAATATTCTCTTACAGTCTACCCTGAGAGACAAGGATCCCATGGCCTAGACATAGCTGGCAGGTCAAGCTATACTATCACTTTATTTCCTAGGACCTACAATGGCCTAACAGTTTTCAACTCAATGGGAATTTAACAAACCTCCTCTCTAAAGGTATTGCCAAAGGTGCTTAGGAGTCAGAAGGGAGACCAAAGGGGCAAAGTCAGTTTTTGGCAACCAAAGGACCACTGCAGAGGGCATACAGGTCAACACACTTAGCTCTAACAGACCTTAAATAAGACCAGGACAGAGTCTGGTAGGTGTGCAGAGACCACCTACCAGGTAGTCAGGAAGTCAAATCTGTGCTTTCTCAGATAGAATATGCTATTGGGAAGAAGACTCAAATAGTCAGGGTTTGAAGACAAAGAGTAGTACAGGATGGAAAAGAATGCTACATGTTAAAAGCTAAGAAGTCAGTGAAGAACTACAAAATGAAAACAATAAATGAAGACATTAGTTTAAGTGTTAAAGGCAATGGGGGCATTAAAGAGATACACAGCACAGGTGGGACCCTGAGGCCCTGGAAAAGGGTAGGTACACATCTTGCAGTAGCAGGAAAATTATCTAGCTCTTGGGCTCAGCAGAAAAATTTCTGACTTTTTCCCTCTGTAAGCTTATTCAATTTATCAATCAACTATTTGCTGAATGTCTTCCAAAAGGCATACATCATTTATATGTGTTAAGCATAAGGCAGACAAAACACTTGCCCCACAGAGCTTACTTATCAGTGGGGAAGATGGATAACAAGAAAAGTATCTATGATGTCATATGCTGGCAAATATTCTAGCTAAAACAAAGCAGGGGGGGCTGGGAAGCAGTTTCCAACAGACCCACCTAAAGATGAAACAGATGTTAACAAGGTGTTAACAAGGGCAAAAGGAGATCATTGTAGAAGATACCTAGAAGAAAAGCAAAGACCCTAGGGCAGCAACATGGTGTGGCCAAGCTAGGATAGTATATGAGGAGAAGTGTCAGCAAGCCTTTGTTTTTTACCTTTTTTATCTTGAGAAATAGGATAATGCACAGAAGGGGGTCAAGACAGTGATATCATTGATCTATGGGTAGCACTGGCAGCCAACCCTCACGGGCCCTAAGGATTTTATGCAACTCACCTAGCACTGTGACAGAAAGGTTAAACAACTTGCTCAAGGTCACAGAACTAGTTAATGGTACAACTCCTTTGCCACCCAAACAAGCAGGCCTGAGTCTATACTAATTTAGTTTTACAACATCTTGCAATTTAAAGAATTCCACTGTGTTCAGAAAAACTAGTAAGAGGGTGAGACTGGTGAACAAATTAGAAAGGGGGGAAAGAATTAAAAGGCTCACCAGGTAGCTTGGCCCAGGACTTTTGAGTTGCAGTTTCTGAGAAATGCTCCGCTGTTGGAGACAGGTTGTAAGGCTTGCTCAGAAATGCATGAGGACCTAAGAAAGGCACCAAGGTGACTTTAGACATAAGGATTGTTCTGACATGGACTGTGGCTTGGATCAAACTACTTGGTGTCAAAGCAATCCATGACAAAGTGAAAACAACTAGCAGCAGGAGGTTAGTGATCAGAATGGCCAGCGTTGGAGATGGAGACTTTTAGAAGATGTCAAGGAAAGTTGATGTGAAAACTAAAAGAGATCACATGGAGGGGAAATGATGACAATAGAAAGCCCAAACTGGGCAAACCAGTCAAAATCACATTTCCTACAAGGTAAATTACAACAAGCACTGTGAAGTGCCTGCTCCCCTAGCATGCACTGTTCTTCAGCAGACTGAACCTGTGGATGCAGATCTAGCTTTGCCAATGGGACTGTGTGCAAGCAGCAAGCCCACAGCTGGCTACCATGGCTACAAGGGGCTTACCCAACACCTCTGGACAACTCCTACTTGCTGGACTGGCATGGGGATATAGCTGTGGTGACCAATACTACAGCTGCATCGTCCTGCCCAACCCAAAGGCAGTATGACCTCATCAATTCCTTTGTCACCTACAAATCCTTTCTCTGAACTTACAGGGCACATTCACTAGACCAGCCATTCACTGCCTTTGGTTTGTGGAGGCTTACAGTGGGGACTGAGTCAACTTTCAAGACTGGGAGTCCAGTTTGAGCCTGCAGATAGTGGGCCCCTCCTAGAGATTGGCTTCCAAAAGTCAACCCTAGGTAGGACATCTCTGCATCCGGCAACGAGGTACATGCAAGCATGCAGGATGGCAAATAAATTCCTACCATGTAGCAACCAAAGACCATTGGATACTACTTGACAGGTATCGCTGTCAACAGGTTGCCACTTCCCATTTATTCTACCACGTTCATTGTTACTGTAAAACCACATCCTGATAAGCTACATGACACTTCATCCACGGGCAATTTGGTGGAGACTTGGAGGGTTTCTCGGCTTTTCCAAACAGCCAAAACAGGCAGAGTTCAGGACAGAAGTGCCCCTGCCCACACGCCTCCCGCCAGGAGAGACGATGGCTTCAGGCCCAGCAGACAAGGGGCTTCATTACCAGGCCGACAGCACCCTACGTCCACGATGCATGGGCTCCGGGCCCGGCCACCGCTGCACAAAGGCCGCAACTCCGCGTGGCCCAGCCCGCCTCGCGCGCCGTGCCGTGCCCCGCCCCAAGTCCCGGCCTGCGGCCTTGCCCGGGAAAGGGGGGGAAGGGAAGGGCGCAGCCACTCCAGGCCGCAGCGCCCGCCGCCCGCGGGGCGCCCCTCGCGCCCCGCACCTACCTGTGGCGCCCGCGACCTGCCCGAGCCGCCCGCAGCCCGACCACAGACGGCCGACCCTCACCGCCCCGACGCCGCCGCAACCAGCCAAGGCCCTCAAAAGCTCTCGGCTCTTGAGACCCGCTGCCGCGCGGGCGAGAGGAAGGCGGGCTTTATCGGAGCGCCACCAATCCCGTCGCACGGCCGCCGCGCATTGGGGGACCCGGGAGCGGGCTGAGGAGGCCGCCAATCGGCGGTGCGAGTCGCGCGCGGACCAATAGCGAGGCGCGTGGCGGACGCGTGGGCGGGACCAGGCGCAAGCCTGGGGGAGCTAACGGCTGTGGCATGGGCGGGGCTGGGCGCGGGGAAGGCTGAGGCCGCGGAGAACGTCGAGAGAGAGAGAGAGAGAGAGAGAGAGAGAGAGAGAGAGAGAGAGAGAGAGAGAGAGAGAGAGAGGGGGGGGGGGAGGGGGAGGGGGAGAAAGGAGAGAGAGAGAGAGAGAGAGAGAGAGAGAGATGCGCAGGGGCTGCCGGGAGTCGGGGAGCGTGGGAGTGCGAGGGACATTGGGAGCTAGTCTGTGAGCTGGTGTCTGTTGAGCTCAACAGTCTCTTTTGTGATTTCTGATGACAACGGAGCTCCGACTCTGGGTCGTTCCCAGGACTAAACTGGACCACACTTCCCAGAAAGTCACCGTACAAGTAGCGCGATGCCGAGGGCAGGAAAAGAGTTTTACTTGCAGCTTCACCGCCCCGGGAAGCACAAAGGTCACTGAGTAAAACTTTGTTGTGCATCCTATTAACCTCGGTGTCAAAAAGGGGAAGAGACAGATCTGGATCCTTTTGGATCGGACTTGCAGAGCTGTATCGGTTCCATGGACCAAAGATGTTCGTCAAATCTGTTCTGACACCGAGGTAGCAGTATGTAAGACTTAGGAAAACTCTTCTACGACGGAAACGAAGTAGATGAACTCTGAATCAAAATGAAGTTAGCCAGGTCGGTTCCTGACCACTCCAAATCCCTACTCTCAAGCCATTACTCCATTGCTATGGGCCAGAGACTAAGGTGGGGCTAAATTAAAGTAATACCATCCAGAATCTCGAAAAGAATGTAAATGGAAATATAATAAATGAATCTTATCTGTTTAAATACATAATTTAAAAAAGAATATAAATGGAGAAAAGGACTTCTCACCTTTAGATTCTCATTCCCGTCAATAAATATAGGGGAAAAAATGATAGAAGACTGTCTTCTGTTGGTCAAACATTTGAATAATTGCTGCTGAACGTAAAATCATGAGTACTAAAAACAGGGCTAAAAAGTGACAAGTTGCTTTTGGGTTCTACAGACAGGCTCCAAATCCACACAGAGAAACCTTGTCTCGAAAAGAGAGAGAGAGACTTACATACGCTATGTTGAGCACACATGATCTGAGTTATCACTGTTAGTGTTGGAGCTCGGATGGAAAGGCATCTTGGAAGTCAGGAGCCAAGGATTATCAGTCACTGAGCTAGTTTAAAGCTCTGCTCCAGGGAAAGGTTTCCCCATTGTTAGGGTAATGACTATGCTCCAGCAAAGGGAGGGTTTCCCCAAGAAAGTTGTTACAGCTCTGCTTAGGTCTAGCAAAGTGCTCCCCTAGGGGAAAAGTTGTTGCAGCAGGGTTCTTCTCCAGTGTAACGTCACACAGCACAACAAACCTCACTCTGTACTTATTGGGAAGGAAAACCCAGGAGGGCAGCTGCCTCTAAGGCTGGAGACAGCAGCAAACTGAATACAATACAGAGTTTATATGGGGTTCTTGGGGGAGGAGGATGTTTCCAAGGTGGCTTGGGATTAGTGGGTTTTTGTAGCATGATTCTAGGACAAACTCAGGGATTGGTGGGATTTCAAGTCCCTGTCCATGATCTTGGGGTCAAGTCAGGGGCCAGATGTTTTTCCTTAGCCCTTTTTACCCTACAATCACCAGACTCCTGAAGTTTGAACCAACTCCATCTACTTAGTTCTGCTGAACTGAACTTCCTTTGTCACTCTGATGGCAATGGAGATCCCAGAGACTTCCCCTGTTAAGTCTCACCCAGGACAAATGACAGAGGTGCCTATATACCTGGCCACCAGGTTCTCCCAGCATCCCTCAGTCCCTACCTGTTACAGGCATGGCTGACATATCCCTGCCCTCTACCCTGAACTGTCCAGCCCAGGTACTAGGCTGCACTTCTCCCAAAGGCTCTCCCTATATAATCCAGACATTTGGTTACCCGTTCCCTTTTGTACCTTTGGCCTCCTGTCTTCTGCACATGGTTCCCCTCTCTCCCCTCTTTCTTTCCTCCTCTCCCTATGAGGCTCAGCTTAGTCTGGTCATATCCATTCTGGAATCTCCCAGAGTTCCCTGTCTCTGTCTCTGGCTATGCTTTCTCTTTTATCATAATAAACTTTCTCCTACACCATACCTAGAAGCAGTCATATCTTTTCCTTTTATTTTTTTTTTATTCACCCCCCCACCCTCAAAACCTGCAAAACCAAATTTACTCTCAATACTGCACTGAGGCAAGCAAGATGGCTCAACAGTTTAAAAAAAAAAAAAATGTATTGGGATACCTCTCACAGGATCACACTTGCCCACAATTGAGGAGTAAGTACCCCTGAAGCACAGTTGAATGGCCAAGAAGGAAGAGACAGACAAAAATATTCCACCAAATGTAAGACCAACCTGGTCTACAAAATGAGTGCCAGGCTGTCCAAGGCCATAGTGAAACCCCATTCATACCAGAACAAACATTGTTACACCACAACAGAAACCAGAGAGAAAAGCACTAGCATTGTATATAGTGTATACATTGTGCCTCCTGAAAAACACATAGGTTCACTTGTAGATATTTCTGGCCCAAAAGCCAAAGCATGAATGAAGAAAGATCAGATAAACTCAAAGTCAGGACCATTCAGAAAGATCACCAAACCGGAAATGGGATCCTACCTCAGAAAAGGAACACAATGAGACATTTGATAACATTCAAACTGTATCAGGGTTTTTCTTTTGGGCCACCAACCGCCTCCCAAATCATGATATGGAGCCTTGTTACTTGTTTTGAATGCTTGGCCTTAGCTTAGTTCTTTTCTGGCTAACTCTTTTAAATTAACCTCTTTCTCTTGGCCCTTCTTCCCAGTGTTCATTCTCTGTGCCCTGAAAATCCTGCCTAGCTATTGACTATAAAATATTCATTTTATAGTCAATGAACCCAAATATATATTGGGATTCAAAGTGAAGATCAGAAAAGCAAAGCAGCCAGCCACTAGAGAGTTCTTACCAATGCTCAGACTGAAGGGTGATCTACTGAACCTCAGCTTGCATCTCCAGGCTGCATTGCTATCCACCAAGCCTCAGATTCCAAGATTACTATGCTCTCTTCAGCATGGCTGGAGACCAATTGCTGCATGAGATCCTTTGCTTCTTCCTTTTATACCTTTCTAGTGCTGGAGTTAAAGGCATGAACTCTGTTTATCTTTTAGACTGATTTACTCTTGTGTAGCCTTGGGTGTCATTGGACTTAGATCCATCTACCTCTGCCTCCTGAGTCCTGGGATTAAAGGTGTGTGCCACCAATGTCCAGCTAACTAGTGTAGCTGGCTTTGCATTCTAATCCTTTGGGCAATTTATATTAAATCATAAATAATATATCTCCACAACTGGTCAGCTTTTTTTTTTTTTTTTAAGATTTATTATGTATACAGTGTTCTGTCTGCACACCAGAAGATGGCACCAGATCTTATAGATGGTTGTATGCCACTATGTGGTTGCTGGGACTTGAACTCAGAACTTGTGGTGTAAGACCCTAATTCTGGGGTCCTGATGGGCCGATGGGAGAGCCCTGTGACACAAACACCAAAACCAGGAGATGCAACAAGCAAGAGGTGTTTATTGAACGAGTGCACTCGGGTGACAGCAATCTCGGGGAAAGCTGCATACCCCTCAAAGGGTTCAGGCCCTTTTTATAGAGACAAATCACAAATCAGCATACATGCATGGGGCATAAGGTGATTGATTACAAAGTATGATCTCATGTTTGAGAGATCACCCAAGTGTGACCTGTTCTTCTTTAAAGGAAAAAAACCACAGAATGACTTGAAAAGACCCCAGACTGTCCGTTGGCCAGGTGTGACCCAGACAGGGCTGGTCATCTGGAATCATTTGTTCCAGGGTTGGGATTTATTTCCTTGTTGTAGGCCAAGACTTGTGAGAAACTTCTTTCATACTCTGGCTTTCTCTTGGCTGTACATTTAGAGCCTTCAGTTATTCCACAAAGGTTTGATGATTCAGTAACTAGCCCTATTTAACAAGATCAGCCTAGCATATAACCACTAGCCCCATCACCATAGTAACCTTTCTTGTTCTCATAATTACTGATCTTTCCACCCATGTCCACGTGCATTCTTTGTGATTTTCTATATTCTGCTTGCAAGAACTATTTTCCTTACCTTTCCTACATCCTTGCTCTGCAAACTAAAATCTTTCACTGGAAGAGAAGCCAGTGCTCTTAACCTCTGAGCCCCAACTGTTCAGCTTTTTATTGAACCATTCTGAGTGACAAATCTTCATAGTGTACTAAAAGATTCTTTTTTTTTTCTTTTTTTACTTATTTTTATTTTATTTATTTATTTATTTTGGTTTTTTGAGACAGGGTTTCTCTGTATTGTTTTGGAGACTGTCCTAGAACTAGCTCTATAGACTGGGCTGGCCTTGAACTCACAGAGATCTGCCTGCCTCTGCCTCTTGAGTGCTGGCATTAAACGCATGGGCCACCAATGCCTGGCCTAAAAGATTATTCTACAACAGATCACAGGTAGACATGTAATATTAAAATGGAGTTTCCTTTCTTTTTTCTTTGGGTTTTCACTGTGTAGCTGTCCTGGAACTCATTTTATAGACCAGACTGGCCTCAAAACTAAGACATCCACCTACTTCTGCCTCCTGAGTGTTAGAATCAAAGGTGTGTGCTACCACAACTTTGTAAAAACTGGTGTGTGTGTGTGTGTGTGTGTACACCATTTTAGCATTTAATGTGGGACCTCCAGGAATGATCTATATTTCAGCAGAGGTGTTAGCTACCCCTGTGGGCCAGTGCCTGACAGTATGTGTTGCTTCTTTAAGTGAGTATTGGTGAGCTCTTAATAGGGCTCAGACTTCCTTTGACTTAGTCAGTGGTCCATTTGTTTATTCTGAGCTGGTTG